TTTTAAGTTTTTGTGCAAAATAATACTAACCGTTGCTTGTGCAGGGAGCTAGCTTACAATACTGTTGCTTATATTAACCTCCCCATTGCTTCTGCTCTCAGACCAAGCATACCTGACTGGGCCAAGCACCCGCCCCTGATCCCTGGCTAATGCAACTGCTCCAGTTTTCTGAAGCCGGATTGGCTGCCGAAAGTGCCACTTTTCCCTAATCAGCACACCTGCAGCCCTAGTCTCTAGGTACACTTTCACATGGCATCAGCCTGTTCTGGTAAGCCTTGTATTTACTGTTCTCCTGGTTCCTGACTCGGCTTTGGCTTTCTCTGACCCTGATCTTGGATCTCCTCTGAACCTCGGTGCTGGCCCTGCTCTCTCTGGTTTCCCCAGCATCCTGACTTGGCTTGGCTCCCTTGATCCTAACCCCGGATCTTTCTTGGAGCTTGGCACTGGTTCTCTAGATCCTGGAGCTTGACCTCAGCTTACACCTTGGACTACATCTCTCAGATATCCCCTCTCTGCCCAGGTAACCTGTGCCCCCAACCTGCTGACTCCTGGGTCCCCCCCCAGTGGCTTGCCACAGAACCAGCTGCCCATATCCCATCCAAATACTCACAGTTGGTTCTATTCACTTTTCTTAAATTGGCGCATTTGAGAAGTGGTTAGCTATGTTAGTCTGAAGTCAGGTAGAAGAGTGCATGGCAGGGTGGCATGTCCCTATTGGGCACTGGCAAGCCTTGAAGTGGCAAGCCTTGATTAGATTGTGTATAAAAGAGTACTGTCAGTGTAGGTGAGCAGCATTCTGGTTTGACAGAGTTTTGCATCCTATTTGAACAGGAGTAAATGAATGCAAAAGATGCAAAGGTGTAGGTACAGGGTCTGGAATTGGATGTTTACCCCTCTAAGCTATCTCATCTGTCATGAGGACTTTGTCTGCTTTCCAGCTGCTTGATTGTTTTGGCCCTCCTTTCCACACTTTTTACAGTAAGTTTCAACTCCTCGGCTATATATAGGTCACCTACCTCTCTAGCTAGGTACTGAATCTATCAGGCCTGCTGCTTCTCGGCCTATTTCTCTGATAACCTGCCAGTGAGGGCCACCAGGATATTTTTGAAAGCTCATTGCAGAGGTCAGTGTATTGGCAGAGATTAAAGTTCATCTTGGAGCTACATTGATGTATTTTAAAATGTCAAGGGCTGCTTCTCCCCCACACCTCCGCCCCCTCCAACTACATTCTGTCTGAATGTATCCAGTTCTTTGGCACCTTTAGAAACTAATTGGGTCTCTTGGCACATCACACTGAGTGGCTGTGCAGCCTCATGCTCATTATACATTCACCAGGCTCTTTTTAGAAGACTCAGGTGTTAAGAGACCCCTCTTGGGAATCCACTTCTTCCTTTGGAAGGCCAGGTGCTTCATGCTGCCTAATTCTGTCTGTGTAATTTCGAATGTGCTGTACTTTGAGCTGGTAGGTCCCATGTGTCTGCTGTTTGAGCAAAGAAGGTTTCTTTGCAAGAAGAATTCAATTTTACTTTTGCTACAGTATCTTCTAAACCTGCTTAATTATGTAAGACCCCGTGACTGCCAGTATGAGTGCAGGTGGACTGCTGTACTCTCAGATTCCCACTGGAGTCAGTGGCAGGTTTGGGGCCTAAATATTCATAGCAAAGGCAGATTCCTGGGAAGCTGACACCTAAAATACATCCTTGATGTTCTGGAGCCATAGGTGGGTGGGTAGCGGAGCCGTATCAGCTGTATGTTGCTCACCAGATTCATCCTACCATTGCACAGCTAGCTCGTGTAGAAATGGTGTGGTCATAGCTCTTGCCTGCTCTCCACCCTTCCTGGGTACCTAGTTTGAGAAGCAAACAAGAAAGCACAGCGAATACAGATGTTGCACTGGCTTTGAATACTTTCCTAGGGCTCCATCAACACTTTGCTGTTAATACTGTGTTGACATGGGGAAATGCAAGGGTGTGTACTGGTGTGGTGCCACAATAAAGGCATTGGAAATATGTCTCTCTTCTTAAATGAAGGAGATAATGGATTCTCTGTGTCTCCTTGGATGTCGATAAACCTTCCCTGCCAAAGACAGCTTCTGTCCCTAGCTGAGAAATCTGCAAGTTTAGAGAAGAGCTGTTGCCTTTGCTTCAGAACGTATCAAAGTGAAATATAGTTTCAGAAAATGGCACTGGATGGCCCTATAAGAGGTTAATCTCTCACAGCCTTCTCTAAATTATTTGGGTCAAACTCTGTTTCAAAGGTGATTTTTTACTGTGTAACTTTGTCAATGTAAAATTTGCAGACACGTAATCAAAACTGCTTGCCAGTGCTGAAGCTGGATTCTGATCTCTTTATGACGGGTTGGATCTACTTTCATTTCCCTGTGCACCAGGGGGGAGGAGTGCAGGGTCTGGGCAGTCATCTCTACATTGTGCTGGGTGTTTCATGGAATTCATTGGAGTATTTTTGCAGGAAGTGCATACAGTTCAAATTCTAGCAAGTCATGCTCTGCTCAGAT